AGCCCCTGACTGCTTGTTCCCCTGAAGGTGGAGCGAATCAAGGAGCGTGTGGAGGAAAAAGAGGGAATCCCCCCACAGCAACAACGACTCATCTACAGTGGCAAACAGATGTAAGTTTGGATAGTGAGGGCTGGACACGTGTTGAAGGTAGATGAGACCTGTCTCCAGTTTTGATGCAGTAGGACCATTTGACAACTTGATGACTCCTGTGAACCCATTTACAGAGTAAGGTTTTTAATCATGAAATGCAAAAATTATAAAGGAAACAAATTATAGTACTGAACTATAGTTATCAAAATATAAAAACTGTGATACAGCAAATATATGTGGTTTATTAATGCAGTAACCCATATTTAATGGGGGATTGTAATCCATGATTTCAGAAATGTGTATGAACTGTTGAATGAAAAACTAATTTACTCTGTAAATTTTTACTCAAATCATAATAAAAAGTAAAAAAGAAAAAAATGGAGATTTTCATGGTTGGCTTAATGAGCCATTAATATTGAAATAATTTTCCAGGATACTTGTAACACAATATAATACTATCTAGATCTATTGGTAACCGTTTCTCCCTGCTCCTACTATTATAATTGTTTGCTCATGTTCAAAATTAAAAGAAATACTGTAATTGAGATAGGGGTTAGTAAAAATAGATGTCATTTCTCTTCAAGTTCACAGACCTTCAGAGAGATCTGACTCTTGAGATAAAAAAACCTCTGTTCTATATGATAATTCTAACGGGTTTTTGTTTGTTTGTTTGTTTGTTTTGTCCCCACTCCACCCCAGGAATGATGAGAAGACAGCAGCTGATTACAAGATCCTAGGTGGTTCAGTCCTCCACCTTGTACTGGCTCTGAGAGGAGGAGGGGGCCGCAGGCAGTGATGGATCCTCCCTCCATTTTACTTTACTCTGTCAATTATAATGAGGCATCATATAGCCTCTCCTCTGGGAGCCCAGAGCCACTGCCCCCTCCCCTGGATGCCCAGTCTTGTGTGTCTACTGGTGAGAGACTAAGAGGACCCCAGGATGCAATGTGCCTAGCCCAAAAGGCTCTTGCTAACTGATGGGTTTTAGTTGCTGTCCTGTGTGCTCCCCTCCAATGGCTATGTCCCTGGTTGTCAATAAAGTACTTCTTGATCTCCTGTAATCTTTCTTAAATTGCACAAATATAACATAAAAATGGATCCAGTGTTTGCCCCTTTGTATCAGACTGAAGGAATACGACAGTAGGAGATATAGTGCTCTTAAAGTGATTATCACGCACTAGAAAAGCCTAACTCAGTCATATGTTAAAACTAGTGTTTGAGTCAATTAGCATTTCTAACTTCGTGTTAAATGACTTGGTAGTCATTTAGTGTTAGTAGCTGAAAACTTGCCATAGTGGGAAAAATTTAAAAGTACTTAACAGTAATTGCTAACTACTACAAATCAGTCCCTACCTCAGGTAACAGTTGTTACAGAGATATGTTACTCTGTAACATTAAGTCAGGATGGACCCTTAGCTGACCCTCTAGCAAGTTTTCAGAGGCAGTGAATTACCTAGAGGGTTACCCATCTTTCTTCTGCGAAGCAACTGGTAGATAATGACCTTCATGCCTTAGGGTAGGCAGCAAAACTACCACTAGGCTCCCAGAGCTTCATGATACAATTGTTAGCAACCAGGAAACTTCATTTTCTCCTGTGGTGGCTCTTCTGAACAGCTGGCCATGGTTAGAGAAAGGTCTAAGAGGTTTTCAGACACTACATTCTTTACTCTTGAGAGTAAAGAATTATTTGGCTCCCCAAATAACCAGAGGGTGATAGTGATCAAAGTTGAGTGAGAAGTGACTGACTGCATTAGATTACTTTGATGTCAGGGTCAACAGACAAGGGATGGGGACACATCTAGGCTAAGAGAAAAGATGACTGCCAAGGACTAAGCACATTCATGTCTACCATGCCTCTTCCATCCATTTAATAGGGGGGGGGGATATGCCAAGGCTTGGGTCATGTGTCCCTTATTGATACACTTGCTCTTTAAAGAGATCGTTTAAGAGAGCTCTGGTCTAGTGGGGGGAAGCTGCCCTGCAATCCCAAAGGCATGCGGTTTGAATCCACCAGCTCGCGAAGGCAGTGTAATCTTCCGTATCAGTTGAATCCTATTCGACGGTATACACACACAAAAAGAGATTGCGGCAGATTTTCCTTTGTAATATGTTTGATTTCTTGACAGCTGCTTCCATGTGCATTGATTTTGGATCTAAGTAAAACGAAATCCTTGACAGCCACAATCTTTTTCTGTGTATCGATATTTATTGGCCCACTTGTGAAGATTTTTATTTTCTTTACATATAATCCATACTGAAGGCTTAAGTATTTAAAATTCTTTAGTAAGTGCTTCAGGTCTTTTGCAAGAAAGGTGGTGTCATATTGCCCATCTTACTGGTAGGTAGTTTCTTGGGTACTTTGCCGCGGTCTCTTCCCTCCTCCAGGGTTGGGAGGCGCTCTTTGCACTGTCTTCAGGCCGACGGTCCAGCGGCGCTCTAGATGCCTTTTCTCTATGGGCGGGCGGGCGGCCATTTACCCCCCCCACCACCACCACCGCCACCACCACGGCTGCTTTACCCTGCTCTAACACCGGAGAAAGTTCCGCCTCTGCTCGCGTACTTGTAGTGGCTGGCGATCATGACTGGGCTCCCCAAGCTAGCTGTGTTTGACCTAGGTGAGAGTCGTGTGGAGAGATTTTCGTAGGGGGCGCCCCTTTAAACCGTACCTCTAACCGTACATCCTAAACCCTTCAAAGGCTGAATCTCCCCCATCCCGTCTCTCACAGATTACACGCTCTGGCCTTTCTGGGTCGATACGCATGTTGACCCTCCATTCAATCGGAGCAGGTGAGGCGGGGCTAGGGAGGACAGGGTCAAGAGGAACCCAGCCAAAGCTGAGCACAGTGTCGCCCCCTGCAGTGATGGAACTGTCCGAGATAGCCGGGGTCAAACCATAAGACTGTACCCAGATGTCCCCGAGATTCTGGAACGACTCAAGGGCCTGGGGATTCCCACCGCAGCCGCTTCCCGGTAAGGAGAACAACAGGACAAAAACCTGTCAATATAGTGCTGAGAGATGCACGCTAAGAAAGTCTTGTGTAACCCCTAGCTGCAGAATTTTAGGAGGTGCACATTTTCAAGTATTGAATATTGTCTTTGTGCTTGCTGTGTCAGACTGGAGGGATATGGAATTGGTAAGAGTGGAAGTTGTCTATTTGTTCATGTTGCATGTTGGAAAAATAGCAATTTCATTTTCTGAAGTTGTATTTTATTTGCATAACTCTCCTGATGCCATTTATTGCATCTTTTGGCAGGACAGGTGAGATTGAAGGGGCCAACCAGCTGCTGAAGCTCTTTGACCTAGTCAAATATTTTGTTCATCTGGAAATCTATCCGGGCAGCAAGGTTACACACTTTCAGAGGTATGCAGCGATAGGGCAGGAGCAGAGGGAAAAGAGAGAGGATGGGGAAACCAGGATGTCAGCTTGATTACCCCTGCCTTGTATTACACAGGCTGCAGCAGAAGACCGGCATTCCTTTCTCTCAGATGATCTTCTTTGATGATGAGAAGCGTAATATTGTGGATGTCAGCAAACTGGGTACTGATTGGGACAGCCATTTAGGAAAGAAGGAGAAAGGTTCCTTAGGAGGGGTTAGGTACATGAGTGTATGGTGGTTAGTCTGCATAACAGCTGATACCTGCACAAAGTCAGAAAAATAATGGAAAGCCGTGAAGGCCTGGTAAAATGTTACTTCTTTTCCTTCTAGGTGTTACCTGTATTCACATCCAGAATGGAATGAATCTTCAAGCTTTAACTCAAGGGTTAGAGACGTTTGCAAAGTCCCAGGTTGGACCGTGAAGTCTGATTCTGTAGATGAGTCTCATTTGAGGTTTAAAAACAGGAAGCCATTTTCAAATGTATTTGTAAATTATTAAAGTGTATTTGTGCATGACAGAAAAGACCCTACCCATATTGTGGACTGTTTCTATATTTCTAGAGTATAAATGGAGTTCCTGGCTAGCACAAATAGTTAACCAACTGCTAGCCAAAGGGTTGATAATTCAAACTCACAAAGGTGACTCAGAAAACAAGCCCAGCAAACTGCTTCCAAATATTCATAGCCTTAGAACCCTGTCTTGAGCAGTTTTACTTTGCACACATGAATGAGGTCACCATGAGTTGGAATCGACTCTGTACTAACAAGTCTGTGGACTGGGGTTGGCTGTCCTCAAATGCCAAGACACCAGCACTTAAATTCAATCAGGCCCTGCACCCCACCTCTGCCCACCTTCCCCGGGCTCTGCCAAAGGAAAATAGCACGAGGAACTTTTCCTCAGGCCCCATTACCCCGACTTGCCATTACCCTACACATTCCTTCAAGAGAACAAATACCTGTTAGAACTTAAAATGAAGCAGCCGCTTTAAAGAGTACGGCGATGACTCAGGTCACGTGGTAGAAGTGGCCTTGTTTGCATCTTGATGTCGCCGCAGTTCCCTTAAGAGCGATTGGCTACAGCTGGACGCTTAGCGATGAGGCTCTCCAGGGGCAAGGCGGAAGTGTGAGCGACTTCTCGTGGTGGAGGCGCGAGAGGCGAGAGTCGTGATGAGTGGTTTCGGCCGGCTCTTTGGGAGAGGTGAGAATGGGCTAAGACTAAAGTGCTGGAAGATGAGGGCTGGAGGAGGGAGAGCACACTATGACTGCCACACCGGGGGACGGGGCGCAGTCTCCCTTCATACACACTCCCCACCTCCACGTTAGGGCAGTCTCCAGGGCTGGAAGGAGACGCGAGCTAAGAGCAAAACTTCCAGTGTTTGTCTCGCGGCATGAGTTTCCACCTCTCTCATCTGGTTCTTTCCAAAACGCTGTTGCTGACCGAGTCTGGCACTGTACTGTACATACCAGAGGTGAATAACAATGTCTTGTTGAAACTCAGGTATGGTTGGGAAAAACAAGTACAAAAGAATAGCAGCCCAAAAGTTCCAGGATGCTGCAAACCTTTAACTTGCTCATCTGCTAACAGAAAGAAGTTTGAGGCCACCCAGAGGTGCTAGTTCTGAAACACCAGCCACGAAAACCCCCATGGGGCGCAGTTCTGCTCTGACACAGGGGGTTTAGTTGGAATCTACTCAATGACAACTCATAAGGTACTGGTAGCTCCCCAAATAACAGTAAAACACCAAAGGAGCATAGAAGTAGGAATTGGAGGGCCATTATTCAGAGGCCCTCCCCAAAAGCTAGGAAGATATTTCAAGAAATTGGAATAGTTTGCCCATATAAGGAGGAAGGAGTATGGCATGGTCAAGAGTTCTGACTTCCTAGTGGGTGAATGTATGTGATTGGGTTGGTGTTGGGGTTTTAAAAAAAAAAAAGTTGAGGGAAGAAATAAACAAAGGTCAGACTGTGAAGGACTTTGTCTTGCTTAAAAGTTTTAGATCTTTGCAGAGGTACGTGGTTCAAATCCATTAGATGCTCTGCTGGAGAAGAAGGGGGCAGTCCTCTCCTGTACCAGTCAGATCTGGTTTGACGGTACACGTGAAAAATAATACAATAAAAAAATTTAAAAAATAAAGTTTTAGATCTTTGGAGGGGGAAGGAGAAAAGTGCAAGAATGAATGACTGGAAACCGTAAGTCTGTAAACTTTAGTTAAAATTAATTCTAAAAATAATAGTAATAGAAAAGTTGTAGATCATGTAGGCAGTGTAGTATGTGGGAAGATTTTAAGCAGGTAAAAGGCATTTTATTTGTGGGGGTGGGAGGCAAGTGTATGGAAAAGAACTCATCGTGTTGAAGGTATAAGAGAAAAGTCAATATTAGCTTTCTTTTTGCCTAGTTCCTTGTAGTTAATTGAGTCTCATCCTATCCTTGGATTGTCCTAGAACTTTAAGCATATCTTAGGATAGCAAGTGGGATAGCGATTATAAAGCCAACTATCAATATGGGATCAAATTGGCAACAGCTTGAAAGAGTAGATAGAAAATTTGAGGCAATGAATTTATATTAATGGGGAGGAACAATTCGGAAAAGGAGGATGAAAATTATTGTATAGCTTGGAAAATGTAATCCATGTCACTGAACGCATACGTAGAAGTTGTTGAATTGGTATATATTTTCTGAATAGTGTCAGCAACAAAAAATAAAAAATGACTGAAGCAACTTGAAAGGCATTTTGGAATAGCAAAAAGAATCCTGGAGCCTAGCCTATACTAGGCACTCAGTGATTGGTGACTAGTATTTTTCCTGCATACAATATGGGCTTACTGTATTGGGTTCTTCAGGAAAGAAGGAGAAGGGGCCAACCCCTGAAGAGGCAATACAGAAGCTAAAAGAGACAGAGGCCATACTGATCAAGAAACAGGAGTTTTTGGAGCAGAAGATTCAACAGGAGCTACAGATGGCCAAGAAGCATGGCACCAAGAATAAGCGAGGTAATGAGAGAGGGAGCAAGTGGGGAGGGCCCAGTGGGAACAAGTGCTTCTGGCTCTAATGTTCAGAATGTGGTATGGGTCAGCTGCCCTGCAGGCTTTGCGGAGGAAGAAAAGATTGGAACAGCAGCTGGCACAAACTGATGGGACATTATCCACCCTGGAATTTCAGCGTGAAGCCATTGAGAATGCTACCACCAACACAGAAGTGCTTCGTACCATGGAACTTGCTGCCCAAGGCATGAAGAAGGCCTACCAGGACATGTGGGTACGGGGGAGGAAAAGAGAGGCCACAGACTCTGGGGAAAGTGGCTTGGTATACCACACTTTAAACCTTAAAGCCTCTCAGAATGTGAATTTATAAGTATAGGTGGTTATGATGACTAGACCTCTTCTGTCTTTTTGCTTCCTTGCCAGCTGAGGCTTTCAAAAGAAATAAAAGGTTATTTCTCTGATTCTTAAAAATCCTTTTGGGAGGGAGTACAACATTCCCTCACCAACATAGGTTACCATATCTCTGGCAGGCATAACTCTTTATAGTTTTCCAAGGTAGTCATGGGCTTAACAGAGACTGAGACTACAGTTAAGACAAGCATCATTCCTATGAGAAAGTCAAAGGTTATTGTCTGATTTCTTGGATCTGTATCTTGTCCTCAGGGACATTGACAAGGTGGATGAACTAATGGCTGATATCACAGAACAACAGGAGATTGCCCAGCAGATCTCAGATGCCATTTCTCGACCTGTGGGCTTTGGAGATGATGTGGATGAGGTGATTGCGGATGAGGGGTCAAAGAATATCAGTGAAAGCCTGAAACCAACCAGAAAAAATGCCAAATAGAGGCCCTTTGACAAAGTGTGGGAGGTAACCTCAGAGGTGGAATTTTTTGGGAAAATCAAATTTCCATCCTCCATCATGAACAATCTTGTCTTCCTATACCTAGAATGAACTTTTGGAGGAACTAGAGGAGCTGGAACAGGAAGAATTGTCTCGAGAGTTGTTACATGTGGGTGACAAGGAGGAAGAACCCCCGGTGGAATTGCCCAGCGTTCCTTCTACACATCTGCCTGCAGGGCCAGGTACCCAGGGTTGTTCTGTAGTCTTGGAGGACTTGAGGATGGGAAAAATAGGGAAAAAGATTGTCCCTGATCTATCCTGCCAGAGAAATCAGACAGAGAAGTTTGCTTCTATATTTGTGCAGGTTGACTTTATCTAAGGATCTAACTGAAAGAGAAAGGAAGTCTCAGTACGGAATGCTTCACTTAACATGCTATTTATGCTGCAAATGCCAAGAGAAGGATGGGCTTTTTTCTCCAATTTGCATAAAAATACTATGAGAATTAGAAGCAACATACCTTTAGGTTCTTTGCTGGGCAGAAGTAATTTAGCAGGCTGAGTAGTAGTATAGCATGACATGGTTGGGAGTTTGCTAAGGTCTTAACAGTTTCCCTTTCTTTCTCTGGGTGTCTTTGTCTCCAAAACAGATGAAGATGAAGCAGCACTAAAGCAGTTGACAGAATGGGTGTCCTGAGGAGCCTGGTCTTGCCTTCCTAACACCACCTCACTGGTCTCTTTTCCTTAAGTGCCAAGTGCTGAGCTGAAGAAGCCTTGTTAAGAGGTCTTACCTTTTTTAGGAGCTGGTGCAATCTTTCTTGAGGAAGGGGTCTGCTGCCTTCCCTTCCCTGACTCAACTCTGAAGAAGGTTCTTGGTGTGGGATGAGCCCTTGGGCTGCATTCTCTTTGGTAGCAGTTACCAAGTGCCTTTGTTTCCAATAAAACCGGGCAGATAGAACCATATTGTCTATACTGCCTTGTTGACACCTAAAACATCTGTAGTCCTTGCATCCTTGTTTCAAAAAATTAATAATAATGGGAATAATGAAGGGGATTAGAACATTGAACAAATATATAGGCTTTCCCAATTTTTTGTATTATCATTCATTTACACACTTTTCTTCTTCCCCTTCTCCCCTAATTCCCCTTATAAGACTATTAATTGCCATACACATGGCTTATAATCATCCATTCCTTTCAGAATATCCCTCCTTTCACTAATCCAATTTCTTAATCTGCTTAGTTCTAGTCAGACACTATTTCATCTTTAAAATTAGTTTGTCTTAGAGTTGCCTAGGGCTTGAATCAAGAATGTATCACCTGTTATTTCTCTTAGAACCATGTGGGTCCTTCTGTGAATCTTATTTTCATCTCTTTCTCCTAGTCATGCTTCTACCAGCACAGCTCATGATTTATCATGTTTTCTTTTTGAAAAACACGTTAGAAATGGAAAGTACAGGAATAGAAGAAGTAGTGAGGAACTTTCTAGAATTCACAGTTAATAGCTTTCACCCCTGGAAGACTTGGTTTGAACTCTACCTTTTCTTTGCCTGGGAGAGTGTCTGGGGCCCTAACTTATTGGGATTGTTTCAGCAATGTTTGCATTTGGAGGGAGACAGAACCAAGGTACTTCATGCAGGGGATGGGAGACCCATTCCTTTGGACTATATACAGGCAAACTTGTGGTCAAAGCAGCTAAGGCCTTTGCTTTAATTCTAATGCTTCAACCTTTAAATTACTTAGAAACATAAAATAATGAGCGATTGCTTAGCCAGAATAACGAAACTTCCCAAAAATAGTGGTTAATTCTGAGTACATGATCTTTCCCCACATGAGCCACATTGTAAACTACAATGTCAGTTATAAAGATGCCAAGATTAGTGGTTATGAGCAGAAATTCATCTCTTAACCCTCAACAGAGTTCCTTTTCCTTACTAAGCTTCTAAGGAAAGAATGTCATTGACTCTAACTGATGAAACTAGATTTATTTTTCTTAACATTTTAGGCCCAGACACTTCTGCTCTGTTCCTCTCATCCCTTTCCCTCAGCCATTCTCAGGTCTTGATTTCCAAAGACTGGTGGACAGCAGTGGTGCTGGGAGGCTGGCACATGGTCTCAAGCAACTTGATCTCATGGGTGGGTTGCTCAGGCTGGAACTTGACTACCCATGGATCTTTGACAATGTCCAGAATGGTGGCACGCTTGTTAGCTTGACGCAGCATCTGGTGGATCAGGTTCTAGGGCAGGGAGAGAGAAGTCTTGGCTGAGCTCGCCCCCCATTGTGCCACACAGGCAATGAACAGCTGGACCTAAGAAAGAAGCAGGATAGCCCATCACACCACTCTGATAAAAGGGGACATGGCCCTGATTTCATTCTAGAAAATAGATAGGGGCTGGAACCTGCTATCATTCACATTTAAGATTTAGAGATCAATGATTGGCCCTGTAAGCCCTCCCCACTATTATAGGCAAGGGCTACAGTAAACAGTCTTAAGCAAGAGCCTTCTCCTGGGTGGTACAACCTTGGTTGCATATTCACCCCTCCCTGTAGGTCATATGTGAGGCCTCAGCCCTCCTGGGGGAGCCAGCACCTTGCATTCCTGGGAGATGGTCTGGTTAGATGGGAAAACGACTTTCTTCTGAGTCTCTTTCAGCAGTTTCTTGAGATTTGTGTCATCAAAGGGCAGACGAGCAACGACTAGGGTGTAGAGGATGACGCCCATGCTCCAGGTGTCCGACAGGAAAGGGTTGTAGGGCAAGCCTAGCAAGATCTCAGGGCAGGCATAAGCAAAACTGCCACAGTAGGTCTGGCTGAGGTGGGTAAAGCAGTTCATGTGGCTAAAAGAAGGGCTACTACGCACAGGCAGATTAGGAATCACCATCTTGGAGAAGCCAAAGTCTGATATCTTCACATTCTCCCGCTTGTCCAGCAACAGGTTCTCCAACTTTAAATCCCTACCAGCAGCAGAAAGGCTGGGCATCAGGCTGGGGAGAGGGCTTAGTATTAGACCCGGAGCTGAAGGGTCCGATGTTAAAAATGAGGAAAGGCAAATGGGTTAGAAATGGGGAAATCATTATGAGGATACAAAGCAAAAGGAAAGACTGCTGGAGTTGTAAGCAGATCTCAAAGGAGAAAAGAGAGAATGGTCCCCGAGAACCACTGAGCATGCACTATTGTATTTCATACAGGGTTCTATAACCAGTTGGTACTTCACTGGATAACTAAAATAGAGTGGATGAATGGGCCTTCATACTGAGGAAGATTAAAAGTGGGCAGAGGGAGGAAGAGGCCAGAAGATGAAGGATGTAAGTAAAACCCATTTGAGAGCCCAAAGGCCCCAGATCTAGTAGCAGCACCCTCACCGATGCACAATGCCTTTGCTGTGCAGATAAGCGATGCCCAGGGTCAGCTGGGAGAACCATTTGCCTGCAAGGGGCTCAGAGCAGGCTCCATAGTGCTGGATCCACTCAAGGACATCACCGCCCTGAGCCAGCTCCAGAACGATGTACACTCGAGATGTGGTCTCGATGGCCTGATAGAAGTTGATGAGGTTCTTGTGCCGCAGGACCTTCATTACCTGGTCCAGGAAAAGGGATCCATCAATCCTTGGGAGAAATCTGGCTACCCCCTCATCTCTTCTACCCTCTCATTTCTACTCAAAACATTGGAAGATAATTTTTGTGAACCCAAAAGGGTTGGTTGTTAGACGGTGCCTACTGGCCCGTAGTCAAACTCTTATGTTCTCTAATTTACTATTTGAGTGGCTGGAGTTAAGTAGATAAAAGGGAATGCAGTTCAATTTGATACAAGGAATATTCTAGCTCCTTGCTTAATGAGACAGTTCTGGTTTTTGAGAATTTTTTACCCCAACCTCTCAGACTGAAAGAAGTCTAAGGCAGCCTGGTACCAAGCTCCAGTTCCCTTTTACAGCCCCCTTTCTGACCTGTATCTCACGGGGAAGGAACTTGTTAAGATAGTCTTCAGAGGCCTTCTTCTTTGAAATTATTTTGACAGCCACCATGACCTTCTGCTTCGTGTAGTAAGCATCATACACCATCCCATAGGATCCATTGCCAATGACCTTGCCCACCTCATATCCATACTCCTCCATGACAGAGCGATAGGCTGGGGTGGGTGGTGGTCCCTCAAGAATGTTTCTCTTTTCCATGTTTTTGGACTTGCTGAGAAGAGGGAGCTTTGCCACCTCAAAGCCTTTTGACTTCTTAGAGCCCAACACCTTGGGCTGCAGAGTGTTAGGCCCTGAAGTGAAGCAAAATTTCTGAATGCCTGCGTCACTTAAGTCTGGAATACTGGGCTAAGATCTCCACTAAGAACTGGAGAAAGAAAGTTCTCTTTTTTTCCACCACTGTTCTGTTTCCTCTTTCTGGTTACAGAATTCTCCAAGGACCGACATTCCATATACATCACAATTCACCTTCTATTCATTCTTGGTAACATAGTTGGAGAATGAAGTTCAATTTGGAATATATTAATTTGGAGGGACCTTGCACCATCTAGTAAAACTTCTCCCAAAGATCAAGACCTTTCATGCATTCCTGTTTTGTTGAATACCTACAATGGTTTGAATGAGCTTGAGGCAGAGGTCATGGGGATGATGTTTTGGGTTGTTCATAGGGTTGCTGTGAGTCCTAGTCAATTCAACAGCACCTAACAACTGTGTGCCAGGTAGTGTGTGCTGCACTAGGATAACATAACCTATCAGGCCAATGGAGGACCTGTGTTCCTAGTGCTTATACTTCTGCATGAGAAACAAGACATTGAAGTGTAAGTTAAAGAAAATTTCCAAGTCTGTTGGAAGTGTGTTCTAAGGATTCTAACCTTGTAATGCATTCATTCTATCTTGGCTTCCTTGACCCTGAATTCTCTAGTTTTCTTCCCATCCCTGTGGCCATATTCACTGAAAGTTTATCTTCCATCATCTATTTCTTGATAATATCCCCAAGGGTGCTATCACAGGCCTTCTACTCTCCGAACTCCAAATCCTCTTTTAAGAATCTCACCTGTGCGAGGCCTTCAACTACTACATTCAAGCTATTTCCAATCACCATCTCTGTCCAAGATCCAGCATCTAAAGGTCATGGAACATCACATAAACATCTTTCTCCTAGGCACTTAAACATACCCTATCCAAAATGGAACTACTTATTTTATTCTACCAGACATCTCTTTTCCAGAAATTCTTTAATTATCCTTTATTTAGATATTGGAGGGTAGCTGCTCCCCTCACCCCACTACACACGCACACATTGCCATCCTGTTTTCATAATGCTTTAAGTATTGAGATTCTTTTAGATATAGGGTTATAGGCACTTGAATGGTGACTACAATTGACCCAAGATTCAAATTATTCCTAGTGTTCTGTGGCTTGTTAAATTATTAAGAGTGGATTCTTTCCATGGGCAGCCATGTTCATCTTCAGTTAAAGAAACCAGCCATGATGAGACATGCCTGATAGTCATGCTTACAATTTTGGATTGCAAGGGTTCTTAGTTTTCCATCTGACTTTTAAAGGAAGATAACAACCTTGCCTGCCAAACTGAGGAGGACCTGTGGCATTTGCTGCAAAAAGTCAAGGACTACAGCCTTCAATTTGGATTGAAGCTCAACATCAAGAAAACAAAGATTCTTACCACTGGACCAATTGGCAGCATCATGATAGATGGTAAAGAGACTGAGATTGTTTGGGGTGTTGGGTTTTTTTTTTCATTTTTATTTTATTATTTGTGTGTGTGTGTGTGTGCACCATCAAATAGGATCTGACTAGTACAGGAGATTGTCCCTCCTTCTCCAGCAGAGTATCAGGTGGATTCAAACTGCACACCTCTGGGATTACAGTGCAACTTCTTGCTAGTAGGCCACCAGAGCTCCCCAAGACTCAGATTGATACCAGCTTCAGATTGCTTTTCTCCACAATCAACACTCTTGGTACCAGCAGCCAGAAAATCAGAAGATGAATTGCATTGGGAAAGTCTGCTGTCAGGAACCTCTCCAGAGTACTAAAGAGTGACAGTGTCAGTTCTGGAGACTCAGGTGCACATGATACAGGCCATGGTCTTCATAATTACTTGCTATGCATCAGAAAGCTAGGGAGGACAGAAGGATAATGATGTTTTTGAGCTGTGGTGCTGGAGAAGAGTATTGAATATACCATGGACTGCTAGGAGAAAAAAACAAGTTTGTCCTGGAGAGGGTGAGACCAGGCTGCTCCTTGAAGGATTCCAAAGCTCCATGTGACATACTTTGGACATGTTAGAGAGGGACATCATACTTTGGACATGTTAGAGAGGGACATCATACTTAGGAGGGTGGAGCAACAGCACAAGAGAAAAAGACCCTGGATGAGATAGATTGGCTCAGTGACTGGGGTAATGGAGGTAGGTGTGTCAGAGTCGATGAGATTGGTGCAGGATAGAGTAGGGTTCAGAACATAGTACATAGGGTCACTATGAGTCACAAGTGACTTGATGGCACTTAACAATTTGAAATCAATGCTTTCCTTCAGTTTCATCATTTTTATATCTTAAATCTATTACTTTTGATATCTGATAACATCATCATCTACCTCATTCTTTATCAAGAAGGGATTGCACTTTTGGCTTGGTAATTATTAAATTTAGCCCTTCATTTGAGATGTGGCATCACCTTTCCTGTTCTAAACATAAGACTACCAACTTTTTTTGGCATGATAACAGTTCCAATCTCCATACCAAACCAGCCTCCTCAAAATTGTTTTTCTAGCCGAACAGCTCTTTTTATTCCAACTTCACTCGTGATATGAAAGGACCATAAAGTCTGTGATAGATTTGTAAGAAGTTAAATTTAGGCGAGGTGAATTTTTGCATCTGTTTTAACAATTGAGGTTTAGCATATATTGTCCTTTTTACCCTTAAAGCCAAGTAATTGGCAGCTGTGAAATCATTAATGTAAATTATCAATAATAAATTATAATAAAATAACTGTAGGACTGTCAACAATCTTAAAATTTTGACCTAAATGGATATTTAACATTGTTATGCTGTAGCACTAGGGACATAATAGTCAATGCTAGATGGATCTTAGCCAAAAGCAGAGCATGCCAGAGGAATGTCTGTGTTTCATTGACCATGCAAAGGCATTAGACTGTATGTATCACAACAGTAGCTAACCTTGAGAAGAACACTTGATTGTGCTCACGCGAAGCCTATACTTGGACCAGGAAGCAGTAGAAACAGCAGTAGAGCAGGGAAACATCATATGGTTCTGTTACTAGGAAAGGTGTATTTCAAGGATGCATCTTATCTGCATACATTTTCAATCTATATGCAGAACAGATCATTCAGGAGGCTGGATTTTATGAGGAATGTGACATCAGGATTGGAGGAAGACTCATCAACAACCTGCGTTATGCAGATGACACAACCCTGCTTACTGAAACTGAGGAGGACATGAGGCATATGCTGCAAAAGGTCAAGGACTGTAGTCAATATGAATTAAAGCTCAACACCAAGAAAACAAAAAAAAAATCTCACTACTGAGCCAATTAGCAGCTTCATGATAGATAGAGAAGAGATTGAGACTATTAACTTCAGGTTGCTTAGTTCTACAGTCAACACTCTTGGTACCAGCAGTCATAAAATCAAAAGATGAATTGTGTTAGGAAAGTCTACTGTTATGGACTTCTCCGGAGTACTGAAGAACAATGATGTCAGTTAAGAGGCTAAGGTGCGCACGATACAGGACATCGACTTCACAATTACTTTCCATGTGTCAGAGAGCTGGAAAATGACTAGGGATGATAGAAGAAGAATCAATACCTTTGAGTTGTAGTGTTGGAGAAGAGTGTTGAACATATAATGGACTGCCAGAAGAACAAACAAGTCAGTCCTGGGGAAGGTGAAACCAAGCTGCTCCCTAGAGGCAAGACATTATTATTATTTATTATTATTATTATTATTATTAATTATTTGTGCATGTACCATCAAATTGGATCTGACTGGTCCAGGAAGAGATTGTCCCTCCTTCTTCAGCAGAGCATCTGGTGGTTTCAAACTGTGCACTTCTGGGATTGGAGTGCAGCTTCTTGCCACTAGGCCACCAGAGCTCCCTGAGGCAAGGCTTTTGAAGCTCCATCACACATACTTTGGGCACATGTCCAGGAGGGACCATCTTTGGAGAAGGACATCATTCTTGGAATGGTGGAGGGGACAGGACAGGAGAGGAAGACCCTGGATGAGATGGATTAACTCAGTGAATGGGGTAATGGGGGTGAGTGTGTCAGAGACATTGAGGTTGGCACAGGATAGAGAAGGGTTCACAGCTGTTGTACAGAGGGTCGCTAAGAGTCACAGGTGACTTGATGGCACATAACAGCAACAACAAACGATTCTTAAAAAAATAGATTTTTTTTTAAAAAAAAAGCACAACCACCACCAGATTTACCAACTTCTCCAATAAGACAAGGTTTTAGAGTAAATCTGTAAATGTGGGCTATAATTGTTACTGTACAAATGTTCATATTCTATTAAACATGCTTGTCTGTTACACTTCATGTGTAAAGAGCTGGGTTTGGTATTACCCAGATGCACTGTCATCAATTCTAACACAGCAACTCTACAGGACAGAATGAACTGCCCTCTTATAAATATGGAGGCCACATCTTCCTTCCATATAGCACCTGCCACACCAATTTAGGCACCACATCACCACTGTACCACTTTAACCACCACCAGGGCTTTTATTGAAAAGAATATATCTTGAACTCATGTATTCTCCAGAACTAGAACTTTGTTGGAGAAGGAAAAAAGTCACAAAGTGAAATTATCAAAGTTTTCTTGTCAACATTTTTTGTGTTCCTTGAAAATCAGAATAAGTTTAAAAAACAAACCACCAAAGGGAGCCTAAGAAGAGCAATACATATTGACTTGGTGAAGAGAAATGCTGGCGAGATTGTCCTAGATGAGGCCGAGTATCTCTGGATTTCGTTTGTTTTCAGAAAACAGCAATGAAAATGAATAGCTTTTTTAACCATTCCTAAAAGGTGAAGCATCTTTAATAACTCTTCCATTTGTTCAAGATGAGCTTAAAAACAAGTCTTTTCTGTACAAATAATACCCATGAAGGACACATCTAATGGCCCTGTAACCTGAATCAAACCAGAGAGAAACTCCT